TCGAACCCACAAAACTCGATCTTGAACGAGGAATCAGGGAACTCCAAACTAGAAAGCCAGGAAATCACAAGAAGAGAGAAGCAGCAAAGAAGTTGAAGAGTGGAATAGGGTGGTTCAGATAGCCGTTTGATCATTTAAAGCTTGAGAGACGTGGGCTGGGACGTGCGCGGGAAATGAGGAAGCCATGATTACTGAAGACCGTCAAAAAGGCCTCACTCACATGCAAGCCAAGATCAGCCACGTGCAGATCTAGCTCGGTTTAAAAAAAAAGCTCAACCCCTACCCAAGCTTGCTTAAACTAGGGGCTGAGGGGCAACTGATGATACCTCAAACATGCCCTAGTTGTGAGCTCAGGAGGTCAGGAAAGACACGAGGAACTCAGAGAACCAGGGGTAGAGATCTCTTTGGGGAGATCGTGACAGGACCAACTAGGAAACAGCTGGATGACTGCGAAAATTGAGCCCAATGCATGAAACTCTCAACAAACTGAGATTCTCTCCTAAAATCAAGGAGGATCCCATGAATAATTGGCAAAGATCTCGACTGAAATCTCACATAACAGGAAGCAGCCTTATAAATATTATGTAACACCTCATCGAAAGGGAGAAACCCCTAGAAAAACCCTAATTAGATGATGTATTGTACTGTAATACATTCNAAGCAGCCTTATAAATACTATGTAACACCTCATCGAGAGGGAGAAACCCCTAGAAAAACCCTAATTAGATGATGTATTGTACTGTAATACATTCGCGAATTCAAGAGAGAAAATAAAGGAGCAAGAGCCTTCATTAGATAGTGAATTAGCCGAGCTCCAGAGCTGGTGAACCACTATATTCTTACTGTGCAAATTTCTCTACCCTTTAAAGAACACTTCATCTCTGCCATTATGAAGTTGACAGCATAGATTCACCTNCGTTGCACTGTCAAAGACTCCTACCTCACTCACCTTGCCCTTACCTATGTCAGGATTAGGGAGCACAGAAGAAGACAACGGGGGTGGTTTCTCAACATTTTTCTTGGCATCGACAACATCTACCCCGGAGAAATTGTCAATTTTCTCACCCACATCCCCTAAATCAGTGTCCTCTTCGGCAGACCTTTCCCCTAAGAGGGAAGCAGAGGAGCGAGTAGCTCTGGAAGGAATAGACATGACTGGACAAGAAAAAGGCAAATTGAAAGAGCAGTGGAGGAGAGGAATACNAATAATTGTTGAAATTTAATTGAATTTCTCCAATTGTTATGAATAAGAGTTTGTTGGGTAGTCAATGTGAGAATCNTTTTGGTCCCACGCACTCTGTTCGCCCACGTTAGTTTGCACCATCAACAATAATTGTTGAAATTTTATTGAATTTCTCCAATTGTTATGAATAAGAGTTTGTTGGGTAGTCAATGTGAGAATCTTTAATGAAATAAATAAATTATTGGAAGAGTTTTAATGACCTAATAGAAAATATAGAGATTGAATACTATTCAAATTGTATTGAATTATACTATTTTATCCTTATAAATAAAGTTGAGTATTATGTAACCAGTTTANAGAGAGGAGACAAGCAGTAATTTAGATTCCAAAAGTAAAAGAACCGAAAGCTCAGAAATGCAATAGCCACCTCGAACTTGAGGGATCCAGAATGAGAAAAGGTGAAAAATAGACAAAATGGGGTACCTAGGTAGGAAAGAGTAACGAACAGCAGCCTAGAGCGAAATGGAAGAAAGAAGGCGATGCGAATATTCAAATCGAACCCACAAAACTCGATCTTGAACGAGGAATCAGGGAACTCCAAACTAGAAAGCCAGGAAATCACAAGAAGAGAGAAGCAGCAAAGAAGTTGAAGAGTGGAATAGGGTGGTTCAGATAGCCGTTTGATCATTTAAAGCTTGAGAGACGTGGGCTGGGACGTGCGCGGGAAATGAGGAAGCCATGATTACTGAAGACCGTCAAAAAGGCCTCACTCACATGCAAGCCAAGATCAGCCACGTGCAGATCTAGCTCGGTTTAAAAAAAAGCTCAACCCCTACCCAAGCTTGCTTAAACTAGGGGCTGAGGGGCAACTGATGATACCTCAAACATGCCCTAGTTGTGAGCTCAGGAGGTCAGGAAAGACACGAGGAACTCAGAGAACCAGGGGTAGAGATCTCTTTGGGGAGATCGTGACAGGACCAACTAGGAAACAGCTGGATGACTGCGAAAATTGAGCCCAATGCATGAAACTCTCAACAAACTGAGATTCTCTCCTAAAATCAAGGAGGATCCCATGAATAATTGGCAAAGATCTCGACTGAAATCTCACATAATAGGAAGCAGCCTTATAAATACTATGTAACACCTCATCGAGAGGGAGAAACCCCTAGAAAAACCCTAATTAGATGATGTATTGTACTGTAATACATTCGCGAATTCAAGAGAGAAAATAAAGGAGCAAGAGCCTTCATTAGATAGTGAATTAGCCGAGCTCCAGAGCTGGTGAACCACTATATTCTTACTGTGCAAATTTCTCTACCCTTTAAAGAACACTTCATCTCTGCCATTATGAAGTTGACAGCATAGATTCACCTTTGGTCCCACGCACTCTGTTCGCCCACGTTAGTTTGCACCATCAACAATAATTGTTGAAATTTAATTGAATTTCTCCAATTGTTATGAATAAGAGTTTGTTGGGTAGTCAATGTGAGAATCTTTAATGAAATAAATAAATTATTGGAAGAGTTTTAATGACCTAATAGAAAATATAGAGATTGAATACTATTCAAATTGTATTGAATTATACTATTTTATCCTTATAAATAAAGTTGAGTATTATGTAACCAGTTTATCAGATGACTAGTTTTTTAGGTTATAATATCGATATGAGTTTTTGGTCCATAGAAGTAGATACAATATACCAAGATAGATATGTTGTATCGAACCGCATTATATATTTATGTTATATTTTTGTTTATTTTTTTATCTTTAAATTATTATCTTCCAACAAGTGTGATTTGTATTAATTATCCGCCGTGTAAAATCAACAATAACAATTATGATTGATCCAATATTTATCTACTTTGATTCAATTGTATAAAATTTATCCCATTTTTTTTTGGCTTAAAAACATCGTCTTTTTTGTATGATACCATGTCAAACAATTCAATCAACACATCAACATATTCTCCAATGTCAAACAATTTCATCAATCTACACTTACCTCTTTTTTCTTTCTTTCTCTTGATTTTAATTTTAAATTACTTAATTAAAAAATTAAATTATTATTTAAAATAAAAAATATTGTAGAATTAATGTTTTATTTTTAATTACATAGTATCTATAAACACATGTTATTGCTAATTTTTTGATATGGTATCTAAAAAAAATGTGTGTGGTTGACAAACATTGTTGGAGATAATTTCTAGTCCATCGGACAACGGATAAGATTATTTTACAATTTTTAAGTTAAGAATTTTAAAAAAATAATATTATTGAAACTTAAAATCTAATTAAAATAATCACGTAATTAGGCTTTGTGCTTGTCCTTTGAGCTAAGAAAGGATATGTAACGGTCAAAAAAGGTAAATAGACAAGTTGAGAGTGTATAGACTATAGAGGCGTGTANGTTAAGAATTTTAAAAAAATAATGTTATTGAAACTTAAAATCTAATTAAAATAATCACGTAATTAGGCTTTGTGCTTGTCCTTTGAGCAAAGAAAGGATATGTAACGGTCAAAAAAGGTAAATAGACAAGTTGAGAGTGTATAGACTATAGAGGCGTGTATAGAGGCATCGCCTCTCTCGTAAATAAAAGAGAATAAGATATTCGCGCCAACACACAGCCATGATTGAAATTGCCAGACCAGACCCTTCCACCGCCCTCTCTCTCTCTCTCTCTCTCTCTNGGAAGAGTTTTAATGACCTAATAGAAAATATAGAGATTGAATACTATTCAAATTGTATTGAATTATACTATTTTATCCTTATAAATAAAGTTGAGTATTATGTAACCAGTTTATCAGATGACTAGTTTTTTAGGTTATAATATCGATATGAGTTTTTGGTCCATAGAAGTAGATACAATATATCAAGATAGATATGTTGTATCGAACCGCATTATATATTTGTGTTATATTTTTGTTTATTTTTTTATCTTTAAATTATTATCTTCCAACAAGTGTGATTTGTATTAATTATCCGCCGTGTAAAATCAACAATAACAATTATGATTGATCCAATATTTATCTACTTTGATTCAATTGTATAAAATTTATCCCATTTTTTTTTGGCTTAAAAACATCGTCTTTTTTGTATGATACCATGTCAAACAATTCAATCAACACATCAACATATTCTCCAATGTCAAACAATTTCATCAATCTACACTTACCTCTTTTTTCTTTCTTTCTCTTGATTTTAATTTTAAATTACTTAATTAAAAAATTAAATTATTATTTAAAATAAAAAATATTGTAGAATTAATGTTTTATTTTTAATTACATAGTATCTATAAACACATGTTATTGCTAATTTTTTGATATGGTATCTAAAAAAAATGTGTGTGGTTGACAAACATTGTTGGAGATAATTTCTAGTCCATCGGACAACGGATAAGATTATTTTACAATTTTTAAGTTAAGAATTTTAAAAAAATAATATTATTGAAACTTAAAATCTAATTAAAATAATCACGTAATTAGGCTTTGTGCTTGTCCTTTGAGCTAAGAAAGGATATGTAACGGTCAAAAAAGGTAAATAGACAAGTTGAGAGTGTATAGACTATAGAGGCGTGTATAGAGGCATCGCCTCTCTCGTAAATAAAAGAGAATAAGATATTCGCGCCAACACACAGCCATGATTGAAATTGCCAGACCAGACCCTTCCACCGCCCTCTCTCTCTCTCTCTCTCTCTCTTTCTCTCTCTTTAGGTCTCCCATTTTTCTGTTCTTGCTTATCTTCTTCTAACCGACTCCTTGATTTGCTCAAACAAATCTCTCTCTCTCTCTCTCTCTCTCTCTCTCTCTCTCTATAAATATACATCCCTTACGTCTCTTTTCTATAGCTTTACTTCTCTCTAAACACCTCTCTCTCTCGTTGCCAACACTTTATCACTAAAATGGGTTCGACTCAGCAATCGATTCTTGTTACTGGAGGAGCTGGATTTATTGGTAGCCACACTTGTATTCAGCTTCTCAATGAAGGATTTAGGGTTGTGATCATCGATAACCTGGACAATTCGGTCGAAGAGGCCGTTCACAGAGTGAAAGAATTAGTCGGACCCCAACTGTCTAAGAATCTTGACTTCAATTTGGTACGTCAGCTGTCTTGGGCAGTTTGTTTCCCATGAAAATCAGAGAATATGGGAAAGTTTACTTCTCTGTGTTCTGGGTTCTAAATACTGAGGATTCGTTGTGTGATTAATGTAAGAGCTGTAATTAATTATCTTTGGTGGGTACTGGGCGAAAACTCATGGGGTATGTTTCGAGTCTTTATGATACTCGTTAATCCCGGTTTTGGATGCTGGGTGGGTTGGGTGATGAATGAGTTCTAGTTTGGGCTGTTTGTTTACCAAGAAAATTCAGGAAAAAGAGGAAAATCAATCAAGGATTTTGAATCTTTATGTTTCATGCTGTTCTGGTCTTTGCAAACTGAGGCTTTATTGTGTGCCTAATAAAATTAGTTAAATCCCTCTTCTTCATTCGCCTTTGTTTTAATATATAAATGGCAGCAAATCAGAACATTAGGGCTTTAGTTTGTGCTTAATTTGTTGTTTTCGTTTGGTTGCAGGGTGATATCAGGAAAAAGGAGGATTTAGAGAAGCTATTTACTCAAAATAGGTATGTAGAATTAATAATGTTTGTCATGTTGATGAATTTCAACCCATTTGGCCCTTACTAAAAATTCTGGAATTGTATCACTTTGATTTTCTGTTATATTTTGGTGATTTTCAATTTTTTGGGTGATTTTTCTTTTGGATATCTTGATTTGATCATGAGGTATTAGACCTTTTGTTATTTAATATGAACAGGTTTGATGCTGTGATCCATTTTGCTGGTCTTAAAGCTGTTGGTGAGAGTGTTGCTCATCCTTTTCGCTATTTCGATAACAATTTGATTGGATCGATCAGTTTATACACGACCATGGCAAAATATAATTGTAAGAAGGTGTGTCTATGTCACTTTGATGTGGTTTAGATTTTCTGTTGGTTTCTATTTTTGTGTTTGCAATTCAACCCTTATATCAGGGACCTCCCTTTTTTGAGTGGAAAATATATGCATCATTAAGTAGGTAATTGAGAATTACAATCATGGAGTGGTAGAGCTATCAGCTCTATGGGTGGACAGCTAACCCAATCTGCTCGGATAGAATTGTTCATAAAGGATATAGCTACCCAATGAACTAGTTGATTAGAAGATCTGAACAGTAAGTTCATACATTTTACACAAGCTTTGCTGTCAGCCATGAAAGCAGAGATCTCCCAAGGTGGTGCATCTTCAGTGGCGCAAAGATGGATTATGTCTGAAATCTTGTTTTCTACTATGGCGTTCTTCAGGTTCAGTGGGAGGGCCATTAAGCAAGCCACTCAGACAGCTGCTGCTTCTGTATATAAGCTAGACACAGCCGGGATGGATTTTGCTCTGCTATTAACCATCTGCCCTTTGTCATTTCTGATTAGAACTCCTACAGATGCTTGTCCACTAAATTTCTTATAGGCCCCATCACAATTTATTTTCAGCTGATTCCTGGCAGGTGGAGTCCAAGACGTAGGACTAGCACAGGGGTATTGGTGGATGAGTTAGTCAAGTTGTGCTCCTCTTCTTGAACTCCACAAAATTCAACCCACTCCCTTTGAACTTGATAGACCGTAATTATAGGATTTGGGTCCTTATGATTAGAGATGGCATTGTTTTGCCTTCCATATTGACCGACCTGTCAGGTCAACCTTGCTCAAGAGTCCTATAGAGTCTTGGATTGGTAGGACCTCCTTCAATGTTTAAAATTATGGTTAATGTTTCAAATGTTCATTGGAGACAGTTCTTCTTATTCTTAATGAGTGGTACAGAAGAGTACATATGACACTCGCTATTTGTTTTAGTATCTCATAATTGGTTGATAATACATATTTTGTTTCAAGAAAAATAGCTTGCTTAAAATCATAGCTGCTTATATTTTCTAGTGCTTTTCCATATTTCTAAAACAACCAATAAGTCCCATTAAAACCTTAACCAAAAAATAGCCAAGTCTATCTACCTTGGAAATTAAGCATGGTGCATGGCATGTCTTCATAATTTGTTCACTGCTGACCCAAGATATTTTCTTGTGATTGGTTAGTTGGTATTTTCATCATCCGCGACAGTTTATGGCCAACCTGAGAAAATTCCATGCATTGAGGATTTTGAATTGAAGGCTATGAATCCATATGGTCGCACTAAGGTAAAATCTATATAGTTCATTTTTTTTTTCCTTCTGAAACTAATTAAATATAGTTGTGTGTTTGATGTTCCAAGTCAATTACCTTTAAGTGGAAATTCTTGTTCTTGAGTTTTTTAGATTAGTCAAATTTATTTTCTTCCTTAACCTTGTATCTTTCTGTGTAATAGTTGTTCCTTGAAGAAATTGCACAAGATATTCATAAGGCTGATTCTGATTGGAGAATTATTTTGCTAAGATACTTCAATCCTGTTGGGGCTCATGAGAGTGGCAAACTTGGTGAAGATCCAAAGGGCATCCCGAACAATCTTATGCCTTACATACAACAAGTGGCTGTTGGAAGATTGCCTGAGCTGAATGTATATGGTCATGATTATCCCACACCAGACGGTAGTGCGGTATGTTGAGTCCATGAAAGATAACTTTTAGATTCTTATCTTTACAAAGTGTCGATCACATATAAAATTGCTTGAGTCAGATCATTTCTGAAGGTTTCAGCTCATAAGCACTCTCTTGCTTTGTCTGGATAGCTTTGGGGAATCATGCAGAGGAAAATCAAAATCTTTTTTTTTTTGAATGCTAATGTGTCTCGTGGTTAGCAGGTTCGAGACTACATTCATGTTATGGACTTGGCAGAAGGTCATGTTGCTGCACTTAGGAAGCTTTTCACACCAGATCATATAGGTAATTACATTCTTTTTTCAGTAGATCGTATGCTAATAGCCTGCTCTTCTATCAAAATCAGAAAGATCATGGTAGCCCCTCATTTTGTTATAGTCCATTAAGCAAAAAACCTATGCTACGTCTTAGGATTTCCATGATAATAGTATATAACATTTGATATTCTAAGAAATATCCTCTAATAGGTTGTGTTGCCTACAACTTGGGGACTGGTCGTGGTACCTCTGTGCTGGAGATGGTTGCTGCATTTGAAAGAGCATCTGGCAAGGTGATTTATCTCTGAAAAACGCACACATGGAGACACATGCTTTAAGAGACAACTAAGTTTAAGAATTGACAAGATTTCCTCTATTTTTATCCAGAAAATTCCTGTCAAACTATGCCCAAGAAGGTTGGGAGATGCTACAGCTGTTTATGCATCAACAGAGAAAGCTGAGAAGGAGCTTGGCTGGAAGTAAGTTCCTAAATAATTCTTAATTCTCATGGATATCCTATATATGGTGGTACTATGTGCATGCAAGATCCAAGTACTTCCATACTTATTTTTCTTCATTAAACCAGACTCTCATATGTTAACTACTAGTTTCCTCATTGGTACTGCCAATTTAGTGATGTATGTGTAAATTGTAGTCTAAATTCTTTGAAATAGAAATGTTAATAGTATGAGTACTAAAAATCTAATGGGTATGTCGTGTCAAATATTACATCAGTTTTTAGATCTTATGAACTCTATAGTGTGCTGACTTCCACCTTTGGTGATGATGCTTCACAATTTTTACTTTCCTTATTGACGCGTCTACACTCTACAGGACAAAATATGGCATAGACGAGATGTGCAGGGACCAATGGAAGTGGGCAAGCCAGAACCCATGGGGTTACCAGTCCAAGCCTTGAATAGCAGATTGGTAGCAGGCAGTTACACAAGAAATGTTTCAACCCTTGGCTCTCTCATAAAGGAGTCAGAGTGCTTACTAGGAGCTTCATTCCAAATTTGAGTCGATAAAAATTACCTTGTTATTTTACATTTCTCAAGTGTTCATAGATAGTGTGTCAAGCATGTTGCCCCTTGAAAAATTGCATATTTTTGGACTCGTGTTAACGTGGATATATAGTGCATGTAATTAGGCCATTCTATGGACGAATTTCCATTGGTGATTTAAAAATGTATTTTGAAGAGTGATTAAATGAATTGATTGTGTATATTGATAGTCTGGCTTAGTGTGGTAAGACTGACCTCAATCAAACTGCCTATCTATTGCCCTATTGCTATTGGCAATTAGATTGAGTTATCGCATGGTCTTTCTTTCTTTTTTTCTTGAGATGGTTCGGAACATTGGTTATCCCTTCAGAGCAATACTGGGAATGTGTCAAAATTTGAGCTGGTTGTCATAGGCTTGCACTTTTCAAGCTCCCATGTGGCACTTAAAACACTATTATTGTTGTTAAAAGTTTGTTGATACCTCCTATTATCATAAAAAGTTTGGTGCTACTTCCTATTAGACCACTAGTAAATGAAATATATGGCAATTCAGTTCTCGAGAATATCTCAAAATTCATAATGAGCAGCAGTTTCTACTGAGTTTGATCTGAAAGCATCAACATGTAATTAACGATTGGTGCATGAACAAACTAGCCCGAAAACAGACCCACCAATTATCGTAAGTAATACAAGATAACAAGAACTGACATGAATCTTCTGTCAAGATTTATTAGCATTGGCTTACACATCTAAGGTCTTCTCTCCTTCCACGACAAATTTTCCCTCTGCAAAGTCACAAGACTGAATGGGTAGCCCAAGCTGTTTCTGCAGCTTCTTCACCACAAACACTTCCGATTCTTCACATATGGTGACCACAGTACCCTTCCTGCCAAGCCGACCTGTTCGGCCGGCCCGATGAGCATAATGAATTGAGTCAGTGGGTAAGTCCAGATTAACTACAAGATCACATTCTGATACATCCAAACCTCTAGCTGAAAGCTCATTTGTCACCAGCACTCTTACTTCCCCCTTCTTGAATTTCTTCAAAATTGTTGATCTCGCAAGCTTGCCAAGATCCCCATGCAGCTCAGCAGCATTTATTCCGCGAGCCTCCAGCTTGAAGACAGCATCTTTTAGTTGTTTAGTATGGTTCATGAAAGCTATCACAGACTTGGCATCAAGAGCATGCACACATCTCCTCAATGTATCAACCTTGTGCTGTAGCCTCGTTACGTAGTAGTAATGTTTTAGAGCTGGTGGTAGGCTCTTAATAGTGGCCTGAGTCTGTAAATTCGAGGTTGAACTAGGAGAGGAAGAAGATCCTGGCAAGTTAACATGTCCAGAGGGAGGGACTGATTCAAGGGGCAAAACGCTTTTGGCTTGGACAAGAAGTGGATCCTGCCCCCAGCTCTGAGCTGCCCTTATCACCGAAAATGGCACCGTTGCAGACACCATGATAGTTTGACGCTCAGGCCGCCTAGTGATAGGGCTTTTTGAACTACGTGGGCCTGCACCAGATTTCCTCCCAACATGCTCCAATATCCTGTGCATGTCCTCCCGGAAATTGAATGAAAGGAGCTCATCAACTTCATCTAAGACCAAGTAACGACAGCCATGGGTGTGCAGTTTTCCGGTTACACTGATCTCGGCAATCCGCCCAGGTGTCCCAACCACAATGGCTGGTTTGTTTTTCTTAAGAGCTTCTTCCTGCCTTGATCGGTTTGCACCTCCTACAAGCTGCTGAACTAGTTTTTTATCTTCAGGTCCCAACAGCTTTTCAACCTCCCTCACAATCTGCATACCAAGCTCTCTCGACGGTGCCACAATTACTGCTTTTATATCTATATTCTTCCTAGGCTTGTCACCATTGGAAGGTTCCTTCTTCAGTGGGCCCACTTCAGAGAGTATGGGAAGGAGATATGCCAATGTTTTCCCTGAACCTGTGTAGGACTGTATCACAACATCATGATCCTTGAAAATTGTGGGAATTGCCGACGACTGGACATCAGTTGGAACCGTGAAACCTTCCCTGTCTAACCTCTCAATCAACCAAAGAGGAAGACCAAGTTCAGAAAAAGACTTTGCAGAAAAGGGAGCAAACTCTGCTTCAAGAGTCTCCTTCCCTCTGACAGCCTTGACTGCATTGTTCCAAACTGCCTTCATTTTAGGTTTGGCGACTTCAACTGTGGAAACAAGCGGCTCAAGCTTATTCCTCTCATCCTTGTCTGTTGCTTGAAGCTCACTTTTGAACCCAACGCTTGCAAGTGTGAGAGGCCCGTTTTCACGATCAGCCCGGCTCAAAAAGCGAACACTTCTGTGGAATGTAGCTACTCTAGAGAATCGTGAGAGCTTTCTTAAGCATAAAGATTCTCCAAGGGGGAGAAACCGTGCTGCACCTAAGGATGCCATGTTTACTGGCGTTTTTTCACTACTAGTTGTGCAAGTTATTCATAATTCATCATAGCCAAGCCTGGTCACAATATAGCCAGAGACAATCCTCCAAAAGAAAGCAAAATGATCTCCCCTCGACCTGCAAGTTAAATTTGATAAAAGAATATCATGTTCAGCATCAAGCCTGATAAATGGAACAAATATTATCTTGCGTTTGTGGATGAAAACTGATTTGAACTTTTGAAGGACCTAACAGAATGCGTAATACTACCGACTATCAAACACTACAGACATCAAGGAAGAATCAAATGCTAGCAGTAACATTCTTTCAAGAAAAGATAATTGAACATCATAATCATGCAGGTTATGTCTAAAAACCTGGGCATAGTGAACCACACTATTCACTACATGATACCAACTTCCCAACCCGATTGACCCCTTTCCGTTTTTGTTCAGCTAAATCACTTCAATGGTATAGCAATAAACCCTAAAACCTAAACCCTAAATGTTAAACCCTATCCTTTGAATCAAGTAATAAGCCTAGTGGAGTATATTAATTCTAGCAATTAAGAATAATTTGAGAGGTTTAGGGCAGTCTATAACCACCAGAGAAGAAAAATGGTACACTCTTTTTCTTCCAAAACTAATCTGCCGAGCATCATTTCTTCAAAACTACAAGTTCTCTAATTGTGGTTATCCTATTCAACTCGACGCCCCAAATTACATACCAAAGAGACAGACATATTTGTATCCATGCACATATGTATGGGGAGCTACTTTACCAACCAATCCTTTAGGGGGAAAAAAACCAAATTCCCCTCTGAGTGAGGCATTTTATCGAGCAAATGGAGACCAACAATAGTT